TTTAAGAGCGAAAAAGGATGTCTTTCATAACAAAAGCAGAAATATAAACAATAAATCACGTGCTAATTATGTGATTAGAAATAATAAACAAAAAGGAGAATCCCATTAAACAGGACCTAATTTTCATATGGTATAGCATCTGAAGCACTTAATTTAGGTGATATTAGCAACTCAATTAAACAGTGAAATAATGATTTTGGACTGGAATTTAGATGATATTAGCAACTCAGTTAAACAGTAATATACTGATTTTGGACTATGAGCTAACCTCAGTCTCTTGTTCTATCACTTCCTCTCTCATTTCATGTTTTCACCTTATTAGATAGAGATGCACATTCAACTCTGCCAAGAAAAACTATTACAAGACAATGTATTCATTCTTTTTCCCCTTAAAATAATGAAAGGAACACCTAGAGGCATTGATAATTTACTTTATTACAAGAAAGAATAAAGAGTAAAAGTGATATGCCCTGTTAAAACTTTTTCATGAGTTCGCATTCAGGTTAGGCATAATGATACATATAGCCAACCTAATAGTAGACAACCAGCTTCACATATGCACCATGTATATCCAATATTTATGCTTCCTTTCAAGATAAGATTTCATAATTCACCTTTTGTCATATAGTGGTTTAGTGGCATATGTTTGGCTCTTATGACAAATGATAATGAAAAACTAAACGCAACTACCAGCTACACTAGAATCATGATACCAGAAGCAAGGCTAAAAGAGCAAGAAAAGAAGGGAAAAAAAAGCATATAGGGCACTTTATAGCGCATAGACAATTATGCTTGTCAACTCTATCTTCTGGAAAGATATTTTAAGTCCACTTTATGAGGGGAATAATTGGGACTAACGTACCGTATGTGAGCCAGTGAGGTACTTTAGACAGTTTGTATACTGCTGGGAACTGCTATCTGTATGCTTTCCATCTTGTGGTGAAAAGGATCTATGATCAGTTTCAGCATTATGATATTGAACAACAGCTTGGTCCAAGAAATCAAGCGGGTCACCACCATCATATGGAACACTGGCCTCTATTGGTTGAGGAACCGATTCAGAATGGATGTTTTCCCCGGTCAAAAGATCAACCAAGTTATTGGTGGAAGCCCTTTGTTGCACTGATGATGACCCAGTTTCATTCAAAAACGAGGCAGCAATAAACGGATTGATGTCTGAACCAGATGAGGAAGACTTGGTTTCTCGTTTTGAACCTTTGGCACGTTCAGTTAATCTTGCACCAGAGCCTTCATTAGTAAATACTCGCTTCCAAGGAAGAGAAACTCCAAGTACCTCTACCTGTGACAAAATTCACCATGTATCATCATCCACCAGAGACTAAAGCGATGACCATACCAAGTCCCCAACTTAGAAAGTTGGAGAAACTCCAAGAAATGACGGTGGAGAAAATACAAAAGTGCTTTTCTTTTCCTAGAATAGATGCATGCAAAGGTTGTAAACATACTACCTACCAATTATAAATTAAGCACAGGAAAGCATGAAAACAATAGAGTAACTGCAGATGGGTCTACAAAGAAATTAGACAGGACTGGAAAAGAAGAGAGACATGGCTTACATCTTGGAATTTTTTGAACGAACAGCATTAGTGATGTACTAAAAAATGAAACTATTACCTGACACTCACTAAAACAAGGAAATAAAGGTAACTTCTTAATCGCAGAAGAACAGGCATAAAATGAACCAAACTTTTGGCCTTATCTAGTTGGAAACCTGATCAGATGTCAGGTACTTAATAAATAAAAGGATTTTAAGGAGGTTCCACACCCAGTTAACATGTGAGAGGGAAAGAAATGTTGCAAAGTTGAAATCTTCAATAGCAGATTGATAAAAGGTGCCCCTAAACTAATACAAATTACTGTTGATAAATATTGTAAAGTTGATAACCATCTACATGCCACCTCTTGCTTTTTAATCCTAATATTTTAATCCTTAAATCGCCATGTATAACATAATCCTCTTTTCAGTTTTCCATTCACATCTATGGAAGATGTTTACTATAATTAACCACTTAATCATCATGCATATGAAAATTACAAATTCATGGATGTATGCCTTTCATTCTCATTAAGCAAAGAGCACAGTGTCACCTACAGGTGTTGAACCCAGGACTCCACAAGGCCCTGTAGCCATGGACCTACGGGATATATGCTTATTTAAGGGCAAGGCTATTTAAACATCAAGTAGCATCTTTCAAAAGCTTTTTTTTACCTCACCAAGCGTCATTGGGCTTCTTCCGGAAATGGCAGGATAGAATGTGATTGCCACCACACGTGTGAGGAAGTCTAAGTCTCCCTCTAGTTCTTCAAAATCATACAACAATGAAAGAGCTGATGTATCTTGATCATGAAGACGTGCACCAGCTCCAGTAACAGCAAGATCCTCTGCGCTAATTGCCCCTGCTAAAGGTATCAAAAGATTTGTCCCATTTGCACACTGAGGTATAGAAGCACCCTGTCAACAGAAGCAAAATAGACTTAGTAACATTAGGCATTTTAAGGACCATAGTCTCATAATCTTTTCTTTGAAATAAATGGATGCTTTTTGCCCTCTTTGGGCTAAGGCATGTAGGCTTTGAAAGGATATCTCTTTGTCTATTTTGCAAAGATATTGGTCGACTGTCTTATATTGATTTTTATTTCTGCCATTCCTCTTTTTTTGGGTATTTTTTCTTTGATCCAGTGGACTTCTAGCTCTCCCCAGATAAATTTTTCTTTCCTATCATTCTAATATTTTTGCTTTTTCCATTAAAAGAACAAAAGATTTGGCTGTGTTTGGAATAAATCCAAAATTTGTGTATTAAAAAAAAAATCATTTCTAAGTTTACAATTAGTTTAACTATAAGATGAGAGTTTTACCTAAATAATAAAAATTGAGTTCATATCAAATTCTATGTGCAATTGGAGCAATATTCTTTCTTCTAAATAAAGATATGAATTATATTCATAAGGACTAAGGGGGTCCTGCCCGTATATATAGTACTTGAATTGGAACAATATATTCCAAATTTTGTCTAAGTGGAATTTAGAATGCATGTAACAAATTCCGTATGAACTTGATTGTTTTATCATCTTAATGTAATTACAGTCTCTCCAAGTTGAACATTTATGGATCTGTTCCAAATATAGCCTTAAATATCATAATATCCCTACATATACTGTCTTATTTCCTCTTCTAATTTTAGTTTGGTGGTAGAACTCAAATAGTCAACTTACAGTTAAATATGAATGGAAAACAAAAACTTCTTGTGCATATGCAACTGTTACTATAAAGAAACACCCACTTCAAATTTTTTGGGCCTATTGGTTGGAGAGAAGTGAAAGAGCTTGTGAGGTGAAAAGAAAACATCCTCTAATGGGATTAAAGACAGCTAATAAGTTCCTAAAAAGAGCAACTAGATATATTATCTATAATCATGGTTGATCAACCTGGCTCTGTCTGCTAGAGAGCTTGGTGATCTTCCAGATATTTTGAAAAAGAACATGATAGTCCAGTACACGGATGTAACAAATAGTTTCTTTTCGGGGGAGAATCCCAATATGATAAGGAAAAGAAAAAATTAGACTAATGGTCGAGAGATCAAAGAATATCACATAAGAAA